CTTTTCTCCTATAAATTCTATAATCCCTAAACCAAGGATTTTCCTGGGAGTTGTAGTCTTGGGGGAAAAACCCCCCACAATTCCAAGTTCTGGCTGAGAGCCATTCCAGAAATTACAGCAGCTTGAATCAAGCTGTTGGTTGGCAGCTTTTCACTGTTACTTGTACAAGTGGCTGTTACTGACATGATGTTAAGGTTCACTCTAGAATGAAGATCAGACCTCATAATCTCTCTGTTGACACGACAGCCTAAATCAATAGCTGAACATCTCAATAGGATCACCTAGACATGTTTGTGAGAAAAAAATAATCACATATGAATCTCTGTTTATGCAATTTTTGCTGTATACCATCTAAAATGTTTGATACATGCTGTGTAAAATTTACCTTCATATAGTTTTCAAGATGCTGTGCTGATTGTCCTACGGATGCCCCTGAGGCAGGGGGTCGTCTGCTATTTCAGGATCCTGTTGTACTTCCTAATGTACACTTTAGTAAGGGCTTTTCCAGCTGAAACATTTCATCTTAATGTGCTAGATTCTACACTGAGTTTATCTGTATTTTCCCCACCAATTTTCACACAGTGTTGCTCCTATCTTTCTTCCTACCATAATGACTTTTCTTGTCACTTTCTGTCCCTTTTCATCTCTCCAGAAAGCAGGATTTATTTTGGGCAAAGTTTAGCACTGTGATGCTTTTCATTGAAACTCACGTCCATGCTTCTATAGGGTTAGAAATTTCACACTAAAAAAAACAAAGCAAAATGGAACATCAAAACAGCCCCAGAACAGAGGCTCCAGCAGGGAAGCTGATTTCTTTAATTTTCCTTAAAAGATGTCTAAGAGATCTAAGTGTCTTTCTTAAAGATAAGAGAAGCAGGTTTGCTTGCATATGTAAACTACATTTTCATCATGTAGCAAGCAGCAAAAAGGGGTAGAGAAGACACATGCTCTGTCTGGAAGACCCCCTCAGTGATGAATAAGTGGTTCCTAAACACATTATGCTGAAGAGGCTGAAATTGACCAATTCTAGAAGGTGTTGACTTACAATACCTTCTAGAACTGACACCAAAGAAAGATTTTTTTTCATTAGAGGGTATTGGAATGCTAATGTAGGGAGTCAAGAGATAAAAGGAACAACAGGTAAGTTTGGCCTTGGAGTTCAAAATGAAACAGGGCAAAGGCTAATAGAGTTTTGTCAAGAAAACAAACTGGTCATCCAACAACACAAGAGGCGACTCTACACATGGACATCACCAGATGGGCAATACCGAAATCAAATTGATTATATTCTCTGCAGCCAAAGATGGAGAAGCTCTATACAGTTAGCAAAAACAAGACCTGGAGCTGAATGTGGCTCTGATCATCAGCTTCTCATAGCAAAATTCAAGCTTAAACTGAAGAGAGTAGGAAAAACCACTGGGCTAGTCAGGTATAATTTAAGACAAATCACTTATGAATACCCAGTGGAAGAACAGACTTAAGGAACGCCTGCTTCTTGGGAGGAAAGCGATGACAAAACTTGACAGCATCTTAAAAAGCAGAGACATCACCTTGCCAACAAAGGTCCACATAGTCAAAGTTATGTTTTTTCCAGTAGCGATGTATGGAAGTGAGAGCTGGACCATAAAGAAGGCTGACCGCTGAAGAATTGATGCTTGTGAATTGTGGTGTGGAGGAGGCTCTTGGGGGTCCCCTGGACTGCAAGGAGAACAAACCTATCCATTTTGAAGGAAATCAACCCTGAGTACTGGATGGACAGTGTCATCGAAGCTACCAACATGAATCTGACCAAACTCCGGGAGGCAGTGGAAGACAGGAGGGCCTGGTGTGCTGTGGTCCATGGGGTCACTAAGAGTCGGACATGACTTAATGACTGAACAACAACAAACACATTATGTGATACATCATCATTGTAATATATCCATATTTTAAATAAAGAATAAAAAAATAAATAGTATATTAATACTGAAATCCTATGTCCAGTCTCCTAGGGACAAAACTCATGGAACCTACTTATATTTCATTCTGAGCAGACCTTTATGTTCTACAGTCTCAAAATGTAGCTTTTGACCACGTGGAAACACCTGTGCGGGAGTAAGGAGAGCTGGAACTCTTAAGTTATCTGCTTATTCTAGAAGACAAACAGGGGCTGGCTGCAGGTTTCTGTCCTGGCCTCACTCAACATGCACAGAAATGCTGCAAGCAACTGTGGATGAAAGAACCTGCTCTGTTCATGGCCTTGGTGCTGTCCTGGAAGGTCCTGATTCTTGCAAATGACATAGCACTTGTGGGGATGAGAAGAAGCTGCTTCTTGTGGTATCATTCAATGCCCACAATGTACCTTCACCATCTAGATTCTTGTCTCTGCAAGTGGGTTGGGCAGAGAATACCATGGTATTTTATGAGTTACATAAACTCACTAAACAAGTTGACATTTTGAACTTGCAGTTAAAATAAATCTGAGTAGAGGTTCAAGAAAGTTTGAGAAACAGTATTTGCAAGGCTATGAAAGATGGCATGTGAGACATTTTGTGTCATTTGTTGAACTCAGGGTGGAAAAAAAACACTGTTTCTTCAGTCCCAAGCTGTGTGCAGCTTTGTATGGCCTCCATCCTGGCCGTAGAGTGACCTGGTATTTCCCCCCACTAATTAATGTAGATAGTGAGAGATTGGTGTTAATTGCACATTTATGGTCTTTTTTTCAGGGGCCTGGTAGAGTTACATCATTCATTGGGTCCCCCCATCCTCTCATGGTTGCTCTTCAGCCCATTCTGGTTGCCAGACTGGGCTCTATTTATAAGAAATTTGCAGAGTTTGGAAAAACTATTCCCCACCAGCACGGCCACTGGTCATGCTGGCTTAGGGGAGTTCTGAGAGATGTAGGCATAAAAGTTTTCTCTGTGCTCAAATCTGGGCTACAGAGACAGCCTCTGGAGTTTACATGGCACATAGTGTCAGCACAGGAGTTCCCCTGTCCAGTCCCATTTAATCCAGTTAGCACAAATACTTGCTTTTTTCCAACTTCGCAAAATATGCAGATCTGGAGACATGAATATCTCTTGTGCAAATGTAGCCCAAGACCAGGGTTGGTCATCGTGTGACCCTCCAGATCTGGATGAATAGCAGGCTCCCATTAATCCCAGCACCAACCTGCACACATTCAGCATATTCTCTTATTCTAAATTCAGCTTGCAAATCATTTTTCTTTCATTTGTGGTAACTTATCAAACAAGAATGAGTTTTGAAGCATGGAATGGAGGGATGGGATGAAACTTGTTCACTGTGTGCTTTACAACTGGAGTATACATGACCATCTAAAGGGTCCCCCACAAGACCGTTCATGTCCAAGGCCTAGCTCCTCCACTGGAAAAGTATTGAAGTTTGAAATACAAGCCTGCAGTACAAACAGTGAACAGCATCTAGTTCAGTATCAGCAACAGTGCAATCTGTGCAAATAGCATAATGATGAAAAACTGTAACTGAAATAAGTGCCGAGGTGCTCTTTTTATGCCAATACATTATCCTTTTGTAGAAATGTGTGCAGTAAATTAGTATTTGTGATTGTGGGAAAGTGAGAGAGCGAGGGCCCGGGTGTTTCTCTAACATGTTGCTCTGTTTTACATGCTGCTCACTCAGCTGTGTGTCACCTTGCCTCAGGCTCCCAGCACTTTCTTTCCCTCCTCTGGCCGCTCAGCCAGGGAGAAGCCACTCCACCCAGCACTCTCACACTGCTTAAGGCTGCCCTGTATCATGTGGTGCTCTTTACACAAGGGAATCCACCTAGCGCTGAGGAGGACACCACAGAAGCTTCCTTTCCGTTAAATGCTCCCCTCACTCCTGGTCCTTTTGAATAACTTCTGTTGCTCTCTCAAGCATCCCCAAAATCTTCCACAACCTCAGGAAAGTCAGGAAATGTCTTCATACAGCCAAATGTGTCTTATGGGTTGCTGCTATTATTTTTTTTTTCTGTGTACATATGCTGCATGTACCTAGTTCTGGTACAAAGGAATAGCAACCATTTTGTAGAGATTTGGAGATACCCTTTGCAAAACCACAAGCACCAACAACAATTGCATGTAATAAGTACACCAATGTAATCATTTCCAAAACAGACATATTGGCCCAAATGGTGTTCCTCCCGCTCCGCCTACAGAATAGTCTATTGCACAAAGGGTAGTCTTTTTGCCAAATGAGCAAGGGGGGTATTAACTATCCTCTTGTGCCCCTGTACGTCCCATGGTTTTCAATGCCACAATCTCTGGCTTGTGTAACTGCAAGTTGCAGATCACTGGGCCTAGAGTTACATTCTGTAATTGCTCACAGCATTTTGCCCGTGAATGTCAGAATATGCTCCTTTTAAACAAAAGACAACCTGGAAAAACAGAAATGTGGGGCGGGGGGCTGCTTGAGATCCTATGCCCATGGTATTGGTCAGTATCCATGGAAACTGCAATGCCATTCTCCTTCAGTGGCTCTGTGCTACACACATACTGTAGGGGCTGTCCTCTTTAAAATGATCCCCTACAGCTGTATTGTAACCAATGTTTGTTTGATCTGCAGGAATTATTATTATCTTCATGTTATTTTTTTAAAAAAGCACTGATTTCTGCAGTTTAAATGCTGCCGTTAAAGGCACAGGAGCAATCAGCTCCCCCACCCCTCTCTCTCGCTCTCGCTGTCTCTCTTTCCCCTGGATGATTGTCCATGGAGCCATATGGATGAAGGCTTTGAATCAAACAGAGGACAGATTTCTAGTGCCTCTCCAAACAAACACACAGTAGTAGTCGTATTTTCCTTCTGGAGGCTTTTAGTGTCTTTACTAGTTAAATATCATAAAGAAGAGAAACAGGTACCTTAAAGGGTGGTTTAATCCATTCGAAAAAAAATATTATTCAATGAGACAATAACTTAAAATCACTCTAAAAATCACATAGCAAGTGCTACAAGTTGGCAACATTTTTAAAACAACTATTCAGGTGTAATGTGCATAGAACACCTACCTTTTAGATCTTGTTATAATTCACAGAATGCCCACATGGGTAAGTCTGTGTGAATTCTGCAACAAAGCATGACTCATCCTGCCATGTAAAAGCTAAAGAGCCACATGTCTCACTAGTGTGGGAAAGGCTATGACAAGGGGACTGACCTGCGTCTGTCTGCTCAATCATTAACTGTTGATGGGCAGCTTCAGGATCCCTGAGCAATGACTGCAGATTTGAACTATACATTCCTTCAGACGAAACGCCGTTTCAGATTGGGCTGCTGTAGATAAAGTAGTATGCCCTTCTTCCTGCTTACTGAAACCAGAGCAAGGAAACCTTAAGATGTCCTATTCTAACTTTTTGTCATGTGTTTTTCACACCATAATCAACAGGACTCAGTTAAGGATATGAATGACTTTTTCCACTTTCAAGATTCTCCTTAAATCTGGCTGTCTTGGCTTGATGAAACTGCATGATGAGCATCCATGAACCTTCTCAAGACATATTGACTTTGCTGCGAGACCATGGTGTCTCACTTCGTGTCATGGTATTGTTTAAACCGTGTCTTCTAAAACAATCATTCATGTGTTATAAATGTAGTTTGCACAAAGCTCCTGTTCACTGTAAGAATAAGCTGCTATCTCTGACATCAATGTTCTACTAAATAAATATCATATTCTGTAGAATAGCCCAAGATTTTGTGTACACAAATAAGATATTCCTTAATGGACACAGCCAACAAAGCAACAGTTACTGCTTTTCCCAGATAAATAAAATAAAATCAATAAAATAATAAAATAAAATAAAATACTTGTTAGAAAAATACAAATGAAAAGGGTACATTTTCTATGAGAAAAACAAAAACAAAGCCAGCCTTACTTTCCTATGCAAAGGAAAAGAATGTTCAGTTTTTCTTCTGAACTGCACAGGGACAAATCTGATCAGGATTTATATCCCTCACCTCCTTCATCGCGTGGCTGTTATATTACCTAATTACTTTATATTGCTTAATCTCTCTTATGAAAGAAGAACTCCCTTGGCTTTTTCAAGCATTTCAAAGCATATGTGCTGGTTCAGACATACAAATCTCAAGAATGGCTATATCCACAAAAACTCACATTGAAATATAACAGTCTTTAAGGTGCTACAATATTGTTGGTTTTTATTTTTGTCAGGATATTCAAACATTTCAGCTGATTTTGCACGTTGCTCCTACTGGTTTCTCCATCTGAGACGGCAGTAAGTTGTCTGGGTGGGACTCCCTCTCAGTTTTTCACACTTCGCAGCCTGTCAACACACCCAGGATGCTAATGTTCTTGCCTCAGAACACCCAGGCCTACTTCTCAGAGCTTTAACTAGGGGAAAGGAATCAGGGCTTTGCCACGGGCACCAACATTCAGAGAGTTTCAAATTTAGAGGCAACTTGGCCGGAGAGTGTCTGGAAAATAAATGACAACTCTTCCCAATGCTATTCCCTTTCAAGGGAGCTGTCCATGGCTTGAAATTGGAAGCAAAGTGTCACCCCACTCACCCAAGTACTGTGAATGGACTACTGTGGTATTTGCCCTCAAAAGAAAGAGAACGGTAATGGTTTCAAATAATAATAAAAAGAAGATATCATGTCCTTCTTCTGCCCTGCCAGACAACAGGATTTATGTAGCTGTGGTGTGCATACTCTGCATCACGTATGTGCCCAAGGAGGAGGAGGAGGAATCTTAGGGCAGAGTGAGTGGGAGATGATGCTTGCTTGCTTCAGGTGCCAAAATCAATCCTGTGTAGAATGCTGGAGAAAAAGCAGGGTTGTACACTGTAAAGAGAGCCCCCCTCCTTACAGATAGAAGGTGCTGCCCACTTTAGAGGTTCACCTCAAATGCAAGGGAAGGCAAAGGACATCTCATTAATATGTTGTGTTCATCTGGAAAAAATGGATCACATTTCAGGCTGCTTGTGGAGCAGTCCAGTGCGATCTATTTCCTGGTGATCACATGATGCACAGGGAACTGTGCTCCAGCTTAACTTTGATCCACAGCCAAGATGGCCCTTTTTGGTCCAACTGTAGGGCTTCTACATTTGGGAAGACAGGGCTGGAACAATTCCCCAGCAGATAGAAAGGTCACTTAAATGGATATTATGTTGGAGTTTTTGCAACTGGGCATGCTGACCTAAGCAGGTTTTGCCGAGAGGGAATTTTCCTGGGTTGGGGTGACTGTCAATCTATCCAGCAATAACCAGTTGTTCCTTCCCAGCCTCTGATTTCAAAGAGAGCCCCACTTCTCTGCTCAATGCTTTTTCACTTTTCTTGACACTGCTGAAGTTTGTTGCTGAAAGCAGTCATGTTTGTCAGTTTGCTGTTTGATGTGTTCAATCGGAAGTAATGAAATATTATTCTTTCTCCTACTAATGTCTCAGAGTGGCACTGTAAGTGCCAGCTAATGATAAAAGGGATGGACTAATCTAGGAACTTGGAGCTATTCTGCTCTGTGAATCCCTGTGCTTCTGCTATGCAGCTAGAGGAATTTAACCAAAAATTCAAACCCTACAACAGATGGCTCCTGTTAAAGGAGCCTCTTGGCACAGTGTTAAACTGCTGTACTGCAGCCAAAAACTGTGCTCACGACCTTGAGTTCAATCCCAGGTAGCCATCTCAAGGTTGACTCAGCCTTCTATCCTTCTGAGGTTGGTAAAATGAGTACCCAGCTTGCAGGGGGGGGCAATGTGTAGCCTGCATAACTAACTTGTAAACCGCCCAGAGAGTGCTTGAAGCGCTATGGGGCGGTATATAAGCAGCACGCTTTGCTTTGCTTTAAAGCATCCCTTTCTGGAGTGATCAGGTATGCACCTTTGAAGCTATCTGATCACTTCCTAAGTTTTAAAATACCCAAATAGGACTTAAAGTGAAAACAGAAAAATGTGTAGCTTTCAGTTGATTCTTACTCTAAATGCTAAGAGAGGGCCTGGCTTTTGCAATGAAAATGTCCATTGAAATATTTGTTCTAGATCAGTGCCCTGAACTGCCTAACATCTTTGCTTTTGTTCTATCTTCTAGCCTCTTTCTCTGGGCTTAGCCTCAAGTTGCTTTATTTTATCTGAGAAAACCCTGCCATCATGCTAGTTCAATCTTATTTCTTTCCAGGTAGCATTCCTTTCCTAGTCAAAGGCAGAGCAAAACTCAACACTTTCACTCTGTGACAATGAATAAGCAGAGGAACCGTATCATACAGAGGAGATGGTAGTTTAAGGAGCCAGTGAGCTGAACTATGTCTGGGCAATCATTGTTTTGGAGCAAATAGGGGATAAATGTTATACAGTCACACTGAAGAGATGTTTCTTGTACAACAGAACTACTGTGACATCATCACAATGGTGTTACCACAAAGGTAGAGATGGGTACTAATCAGTCCAAGGACTAATGTCTTGTTTTCTGGTCAAACAGACTGCCAAAAACAGGAAGTAAGGAAAAGTCAATTTTCAGGTTTAAAAAATTGTTATTTGGGGGTATTAAAATGTGTGGTTTGGGATCTCCTATTTATAAGGTGAATTGCTACTGCCCAAAGTTTCCACAAGCTTCAATTATCCACCTTTTTTGTTGCTGAAAAAAAAGGGAGTTGGGAGAGAGCCTGGGGGGGGGGTGCATAAGAACCATCTGTGAGCTATATTCTTCCCATGGCCTGCATTTTGCTCTCCTTTGGCCATGGAGGAAGCCAGTATTTGCAAATGGTAAGGATATACCTATAGCAAAAGAATGAGCACAAAACTAATATCAGTAACATTACTATACCTCTGAAGACAACCAGATTGACTATTGTTTGTTTCCCCATAAACTAAACCTCTCCAAACCACATATTTTTGTACGAGAAACCCCCAAACTTGTTAGAGCATGGAAGGGGGTGTAAATAGACCACATAGACAAGAGACATCCATGGAATATTAAGCATGAACATAGTGAATTGTTAGTCCAGAACTAGGATGCACTTGTGGCCCTCCAGATATTATCAGTCTGTGACCCCATCATCCTTCACCATTTGATAGCTGGGGCCTCCAGTATCTTCTGTATTAAGTACAGGTCTTCCAATAGCAGCCCAGGGTAGCAGCTACTCAATTATCTTCACTTCCATTTAGGCACAACATTTCCTGGCAGTGGCTCTGTGATGTGCCCAGAGCAACACCACATGGGGGCAGGAGGTGGTCATGAATGTGGAGGGGTAGACCAGAGCTTGGAACCAATGTGTTGATTTAGCTCGTTAAAAGTAAAATAGTTACTTTTGTGTTAAACAGGAGGAAAAGGCAATTGATGTATACAGTATATAGAGTCACGTTTTAAATGCAATGATTTAGCACATTGGGGCACAAAATCAAAACTTTAGTTATCAGTTAATGGGTTCTGAGCTATCCATGATGGATCAGAAAAGAGATATTGGTGTGCTGGTGGAGAGCTCGATGAAAGTGTCAACCCAGTGTGCGGCAGCAGTGAAGAAGGTCAATTCCATGTTAGGTGTTGTTTAGTCATTAGGTTGTGTCTGACTCTTCGTGACCCCATGGACCAGAGCACGCCAGGCCCTCCTGTCTTCCACTGCCTCCCGGAGTTTGGTCAAATTCATGTTAGTAGCTTTGATGACACTGTCCAACCATCTCGTCCTCTGTCGTACCCTTCTCTTGCCTTCAAACATCAGGGTCTTTTCCATGGACTCTTCTCTTCTCATGAGATGGCCAAAGTATTGGAGCCTCAGCTTCAGGATCTGTCTTTCCAGTGAGCACTCAGGGTTGATTTCCTTCGAAATGGATAAGTTTGTTCTGTTTGCAGTCCAGGGGACTCACAAGACTCTCCTCCAGCACCACAATTCAAAAGCATCAATTCTTCGGCGGTCTTCTACAGCCGTCTTTATGGTCCAGCTCCATGCTAGGTACATATGATTAAAAAGGGGATTGAAAATAAAACACCCAACATTATAATGCCATTGAACAAAATGCTGGTAAGGCTGCACCTGGAGTATTGCGCACAGTTCTGGTCGCTGCACCTCTAAAAAGACACAGTGGAACTGGAAACAGTGAAGAGGAGAGCAACTAAAATGATGACTGGGCTGAGGCAACCCCCTTA